CCAAAAAAAAAATAAAAAATAAAAAAGAGATATATATAATAGGGAACATATTAACACATTAAGTTTAGAAGGTTATTTATGGTCTAGCTAGACATAATTAGTATGCCTTTTGTTTTTCCCTTATTAGTGTGTGTAGTACATCATCTTATGTTGAAAGTGTACATTTTGGCAGAGAAACCAAGGGGGAAGGAAAAGCTTAAATGAAGGAATTCATTGTAACTTTTATGAAATATGAAACCTTCTAAAGACATTGTAAAGGCTACATTGTCTACTAAGCTTGCATTTAACACTTTATATCTTAACATACAGTATATAGACTTGGTCAAATAAAATAAAAGATGTATTATGTTCATATTATCAAGTTATATGTAATACTAGTACTCCAGATACTGCTGCTTTACATATAACTATTAACAGTGGGGAAAGACTGACCTGCAATCACTACACTACGCCAATGACATGCAGTACATGCATACACTGGTTCATTAAGGGTCGCCATTTTAACCTTGTAAATGGATGAATCCGAAACCTCACATTAGATCTTTCCCTTCATCGGACACACGTAGTTCACAACCTATTGTTGCATCTACATACTTTGACTAACTAAGAAATATCCTCCTCAACAATTGCTTGTATCATTAGTCAATGTCTGGATACCAAAACAACTGATTGTTATCTTGATCAAAACAGCTACAGAATGTGACTGCATATCAACTTGAACAATTATATTCCTAATAATGCAGAAGGTACCCTTAAGCCATAGCTAACCAAGATATTCATGGAAGGAAGTAAAAGATTACGCATTGGATGAGGACATCACCTCTCTACTGTAGTCATCACAGGATCCCTTGCTGTACCTCATGCCTGTAATGTTTGCTGCTTCTATATTTTTGGTATTTTAGTGACCTTTTTGCGTCTCATAACAATGGTGTAAATAGTAGAACTATTTATTGAGAGTGTTATACTTTTTTAAGTTATATTTAATGTCCATGTAAGTTATTTTTTACGTTGTGCTTATAAACAGACACATTATAGGTTGTGATTCAAAACTGTTATTTTGGCTCTGTTGTGATCATTGCTGTCAAGCATTGATCAGATATACATATTCCTTCACAAAGTTCTGTCTCACTGGTCATTAGGTTTAGATCAAATCTGCTTGCATCCAATGAGCATTCACCACATGTGTTATGTTCCTGAGTGCAGTGTATTCTATATTCCTTTCAAACCAGAATGTAAAGTTTCTTTTATTTTTCTTTATCTACTTATTTTTTTAAATACACACATTAGCCATACGTACACAAGTGGTGTGAAAAAGAACCAATTATACAATGGTCAAATACATAAATCCATAATATAGCAAATGATGTTTCAAGGGACACGTGTAAGGAACAAGGAATATGCATTCAGAGCCAGAAGAGGACAGTAGAAATTACAAAGAGAGGGGACAAAACTGAAGGGAATGGAGGGCAGAAGGTAGGCGATGGTGCCCCCAGGGAGTGTTCTTGGATGGCAGGAAAAGTAGAAGGTGTGCAGGGAGAGAGGTAGGGATGTGTGGGCTTCTTTTCCTGGCCTGTCTAGCTATTTGTCCAGGTGTGAAAATGTGTACTCACAGAGGCTGCCCCTGGGCCAGGGGTGGCAGGCGCTGACTGGCAACAAGCCGAGGACAATGAGTCAGAGTTTCTCCTGGGGGTGGCAGCCATCCCTTTCTGGGACTCCTAACACCCCCCCCCCCCCTTACCACTCCACCTCCCGACTCCTCAACACACTGCCTCATCTGTCACTGTCAGGTATGCCTGCACAGGTCTGCCAGGGTCACGCTGGCCCTGTGAAAATCAGAGAGGATGTTTGCCCGGCTTCCAGAGCCTTTTGAAGTTAGGCTAAAGGACCACAGTTTTCCTCACCTAGAGCAAATACTTATCACATAATATGATTTGTATAGCAGTCTTTTTTAGACAGGCTTTGATACCTCTCCACATTTCTCACCAACAGTCACTCCTTTGTTTCTAATTTAACACCGGGATGTCGTATTGCTTGTCTAAAAATGGCAGAAGCTTTGTACTGTCTAAGTAATTACAAAGTGTTGGGGAGTGTAAGAAAGAGTGTCTGAAGTCCTAATATTTTTGCTCACATTGTGGAGAAAAATACTGATGTGCCATCTTGTTGTAAGACATTTTCTTTGTGCATTGTAACACATGAAGTACCTCTCACAGGCCTCTGGTTATAGAATGGTCCACTTATGTATGTTTCCTAATCCCTCAATAAATAAATAAAAAAGGTAAATTGTCCTTTTTCTAAATGGGAAGTACAAAAAAAGTGTATTTACATATTACGTGGATATCTAGTGGTATTACTGCGATGTTTCGTACCCGATTGCTCAACAAATATATTTTAAGATGTAAATAATACTATTATATGATGATTGTATTTGCAAACCATGTACTAACTGTTTGAGAGTAGCTCTTGGATTGATTTTTATCATAACTATTATACAAAGAGATGAACCGTTAATATGTTGTGCATTGTGTCAAAGTATCACCTGCAAGACAGAAAAAAAAGAGAAAAAAAAGACCTGTGATGCTTTACCACACCACTCGCTGTCGACATTCATTTGTTCATAATGGCTTAGTACACGCACTGTTGTCAGTTGTCTAAACCATGAATTTATCCATTGAGTCATGAAATATTTATTTGTTGTCAAGATGAATAAAATCATAATGGTCATTTCTGGGTCTTAGGAGTCTGTTGAAATTGATCTTTATAATCAAACTGGCTGATCTTTGTTATGCAATGAGAAGTTCATTTTCAATTCGTCTTCAAACAGCTTTCATTTCAAACTCCATACTGTATTCCTTCCGGTCTTATCCCAATGCCTTTGTGTTTGCTGAGAGTTTCACCAACACTGTAAAGGTAGCCATCGGACTCAGTAGTCCATCCCTCCCTCTGATGGCCTCCTCTCTCTTTGGTTCTTACACAGTATGCACTTTTTCAGGCACATATTCAACAGATTGGACTTTTATGTTTCCGTTTATGTTTCTCTCTGTTTTCACAGTTGCAATTATATATATTTTTGGTGCTCTGGTACATGGCAAAACATGTCTGATGTGTACTATATTTTCATAAGGAAGAGTCATAAAGATGAGTATGATGTTCATTTTGCTGTCATTTATTGTGTAGAAATAAAACACTGGTTAAAGTGAACATAAACTTGATGAGTGTTGTGAGTTATTTGAAAGTTAAATTGTATTATCATCAATTGTGTCCAAGTTCATTTGTGGTATGCTTTCTATTTGACTTTTTAACTCTTTTGTGCCCCTTAGGAGTATCTTTCTACTAGACTACTAGAGTTTAGTAACTAGACAATATAAGAGAGTTTACTAACTAGACAAAATAAAGTGAGTGACCTTTTCAAATTGCAGAAAAAAATGCTGAGGTGGGTTAAAAAGAGAAGCTCATTCTTTAAGCCTCCATTGATACATTGGCATTGCAATTTGACTGCTTTTCCTGGCACACCAATGACGTTAATGGCATATTTTGTGAGAATGAACATCAAACTACTGATTTTGAAAGTGCAGTTAATGTTGCATGACTGGAAAGAAACTGGATCTGAGCTTAAAGGAATAGTTTGTTGAGGGAGCTGGAAAAAGAAAATGCTTCCCAGCAGCTCACATTCAGAGAAGCATAGCCACCTTTAGTTAATGATATAAATTAGAGTAATTCATAGGGGATGGCTGTCTATTAGTTCACTGACTGATTTCCTCCCCTGCTCAATGTAAATATTTTTCAGCTTGATCATCTGGTAAATTGGGTAAATCCTTGGAAATCACACAATTGCACTGCATTCGGCAATTTCTAAATACAATCGGATAACAGTTATTTTTATCTGAGACTTATTTTGCCATCATGCAAATTCATTCTGACCCGCATATTGCTGTGATACAGTGCAATACTCAAAGGACTTCTCCCGGCAGAGGGCTTGTTCAGGCAGGTCACATGGGTCACGTGCACCACATCAGTTGATCACCATGTCGTCATTAAGTTAGACCTCTTAACAAGACAGATCGTTGAAGTCAACACCAGATTATTCTCTATACTGCTACATGTTGGTGTTGTATTGGCCAAGTGTTGGTACTATGTACCACTTGTGGCAATCCATCAGATCGTTAAACTATTCTAAACAATATATGAATTAAAAAAGATAAACCTTATGTTGAAAATCAAGGTATAACTAAAATCAGTGGCTTTCGACATACTATACTACACATCTTTCTGGACAATATATTATGTTGTTTTTTCTTATATTTTCAACAAACTATACTGTGAGATTTTATACTTTTTTCGACACAATGTACTAAGGAGTTTTAATTAATATTTTCAACATACTATGTTGTTTATTTCTCAAGTTTTTCGACAAACTATACATATACTTTTTTCTGCATACCGTACTGTCATTTTTTAAATTATGTTTTCCACTTCCTATATTCCGTCTTTTCTAATATTATCGAAGTAATATAATATGTTGATTTTTAAAAATATTTTCGTTATAACCTACGATTAGTTTAGACATTCGATACTTTATCGTTTTTTAAAATGTTTTCGACATCCTATGTCCTTTTTTTTCATTTATATTCCTTATACTATACTAGGACTTTTTTTAGACATTCTACTCGTTTTTTTTTCTCATATTTTCAGCATAACCTAAGATTATTCTTTTCGATTTACAATAATATGTCGCTTTTTCTAATGTTTTCCACATACTATGTTGTTTTTTTTCTTATATTTTCAACATGGTATTTTAGACTTTTTTCTAATATTTTCATACATACTATACTTTGACTTTCTAATTTTACTGACAAAGTGAAAAAAATGGACATATGACAGATATATTATTATATATTCGACAAACCTTTTTTGTATTTAGTGATATTCATGAAAATGGGGAAAGCTTCAAAGACGTCTTGATCACACAACTTGACAATGATCTTAAATAATAGTTTTACTCCGTTGTGGGAATGAAAGAAAAATCTTCTGATTCAATATACATTTTTAATATATATCACATTCTTCAGAAAAAGACAATCAAAGCCACATAATAATACAGATGTCTTTTTTTACAATTCAAAATGTACATAATAATACTTTATTATTACAATTTACACAACATGAGATGTAAATATTGAAAAAAGGCATTGTTTATCTTAATTAAAACAATATCCATGGCTTTGAAGATATGACATTGGGCTGAAATATAAGAGGTATAAATGGACCAAAGAAGACCCCTACAATCACTAATACTTTACAACTTATTTGGGAGTACCTTACATTTTAGAGTTTGTTATTCAACACAAACTTTTGGGCACCTAAAACTGTTTCTGTGATGTTCTGTAATCTTGCAGAAATCATCAAGTCTTACCATAGCAACTGATTTATTTTTCTTTGCAGTATATTTTATTTCGTTACATACTAATACCCACAAAGTTTGTGAAACATTTACTTCAGCGTGGATATTGCATTGTATATTTTGTTTCGGGTGCATAATCCACTTTGTTCCCGTTTGTTTCTAGTCTATGAAAACAATTTTAAAATGTAATTGTCCATAGTATTCCTTTTGGGTACTGTAGTATTAATAATAAAGGTGACGACTAAATGATTTCTAGATATCTGGATTAAAAGTACTAAATGAAATTCCTATAAATGAATATGATTTTCAAATGCCAACCTCCATGTCTTTGCATAATTTAAACAGGCTTATAGTAGCCTATTGATCCATATAGTTACCACACAAAGCCTTGCTATTCCAATTGAATCTATCAAAAGTAATACAAGACTTAGTACATAGTTTTTCACTTACTTATTTCACGTTCATAAAAAAAAGCTTTACTTTTTTTTTACTTAATGGGAACTAGAAAATAAGAAAGTGATTTTTAAATGGCTTTAACACATTTCGGTTTCTCCTTTCAAATTAGGACAGTAAAGGCAAATAAGTTATGCTAATATATATTTTTAAACTTTTTTCTCTCTTTTAAGTGTTCCAAGAAAGCTTCAAAGCACCAAAAAGGAACTACAATATTACATTCAAAGTATTTAAGCCAACCAGTTTTTCTCTTGGCTGAATTCTATTTTACATGTTCAGACTACAACTTTCTCATTGATATGTGCGATCACTGCCATTTTGCAGAAATATTTTCCCTCCAGTTCTTTTTTTATCCTCAGTCTTCTATTAAAAGTAGGCCACACAAAAATGTTTTTTTGTGTAGCTTTAACACAATGTCCAGTGAATTCTGAGTTTTTTTTTTGGGCTATCATGGTTTTGGAAAATCCATCAGTCCCGTGAGAGACCACTGCTGCAGACTGGGTGACGAGTTGCATCAATTTTTGACGTCATTTTGAAGCAACAAACAGACAAAGATGCACCGCCGCCTTCTCCAAACTCCTGTCTCATCGGAGTTTGGTGTTGCTGTATGTGTTACGCTGCACAGATATTAACTTTTCCATGCATGAAGTGCGACTTTCATGTAAAGAGCCATGCCACGTGTTACTGGGAGGTCGCCCCTCTTCACTCCTGCAGTAGACATACGCCATGGTGTCTGTGCGGCTCCGGATGTTGGTGCTGCGCAGGAGGGACCGGCAGTAGTTGCTAATCTTCTCCACCCTATGTAGTATCAGGTTGGCTTTTCTATTGAAGGAAAAGACAAGAAAAAAATATCGAAGATCAACATCATCACGCATATATAATAATTTTGAATTCCATTACCATAACATCTCAAGTTTGAGATGATATCCATAATTGAGAAAGACAGAAAACACAAATATCTGTACAATTATATATTAAGCAAGTAAGAAAATCTGCCGGATTAATGATTGAATGTCCTTTCAAAATTGTACCACATGATACATTAACATTAGACTTTAAAATGTGAAATCATAAAAGTAGTTAGATACCCAAACTTTGGAAATGCGAGTGGAGGTGTATGTTTGTGTGTAAGCGTTGTGTGCTGCTGACAACAAAAAGGGGGTCCTGCTAAATTCACTTCAGCACCTGATAAAGACAAATTGTAATTGTACCGATTCCCCAAGGGGGTTCATTTGGTGCCAAAAAGTCAACAAAGAAGTACAAATAGAGAAGGAGCGAAAGAAAGAAAAAGAACAAATATCACACTGTTCCTTCAGTTGCACCCTCAATGGCTTTGCACGAAAGCCCAGCTTTAAATGTTAGCAGGATTGAAAGAATTACAACAGTGTTTCTCCTTTATTTCTGACGGGACTGCCACTCTGGGTCAAAACAAATACATTTAGAATTTTCGGGTACTGATTCTGTTGAACACTACACCGGGTTTGAATGTGTTCTCTACGTCCAGAGTCTGAAGCTGCTGTGCAAAACTTGAATGAGCCATATGTCAGGTCATGAGAAAAACACACACAAAGAAGGGCACAATTCCATTTGTTTTGAAAGCCATGTCTGCTGAGCATCAACATCTGCCTTCAGTTAAGCAGTACAGACATCCTTTTTACTTATTGGCCGAAAAGAGGGTGAAACATTTTCTCATTTCCCTTAAATTCTTACGTCCGAAAAACAGACTACCAAACACATAATCAAGGGAGGCCTGCCAGCATGTGAGTAAGAGACAAATACAACACTTGTAATGCCATTCCTGAAAACATGCAAAGAAATTAACAACAAATTTAACAAAAAAGGAAAGTGTAACTTTTCAGGTTGCCATAGCGTTTAAGTGAAAGACATGGCTTTAATTGGATTCTAAGTAATTGATTACGACACAAACACAGCTTTGTAAAATCAAAGCTTAGAACTGTAACTACGTCAAACTAAAAGGGCAATGGGAAAGCACAGACATATACAAATACCCTAACTTGCAATGTTAAAGGTACTCTATACGACTAAAGCAGCAACAACTATTTACTATGTAAATGAAGAAATTATGTCTTGAGCAGATAATGAAGTCAGTCCCTCTGTGTATGTTTTCATGCTCTTCAGTCCTTTGTGTTGGTAACCAGTCCACATGTTATCTCCTGTCTTATTGTCCAACTGGCTAATCACTGCTGCTCTCTTCTGTTCTCTTACTGTATGGCTGTTACCACGAGACCACCATCCCAACCAACAGTGGCAGGACAGCGGCAACAGGAAGGCATAACGCCCATCCTCGGCTCCCCCTAACATTACCACTGTTAGCTCTGCCACTGTTGTCAGCACTGTTAACACTGTTTACACGTTATGCATGAGCCAACGCCATTTTGGCTCAGCCACCTCCATGTTTGCTTGCAATATCAGAGGTATGAGCCGTGCGCAGCCAAGACTCAAAGTGTCTTTAAGCCACAACGTGAACCAAAAACCGTCCATCGTTCATATGTGGCTGTTTCACATAGTTTCATAAAAAATAAGGACAGTAGTTTTCCTGTAATCCTGCCGACATACAGACAAACAAACCTTGGCCGGGGTGAAAATCAAAGAGACTGATGTGCAGAGATATAAAGGTAAATTACAGTACAAGATAATAGTGGTGTTTACAGTGAAGATAAAAAAACATTAACCATCACAGCATGTCCACAGAACAATTTAATTATGAAAATAGCTAGTGTTCAGATGTTACGATGCTGCTGGACATTTTTGGGTTACTGGGATTCTCAGCGCCCGCGAGGAAAACTGACTTTGCTTACGTTTCACTTGGCCATTCTGCTACCTTTTAAAAGGCACCACCAATAGAGCTTGCTTGTAAATTACCCCAACGAGGCTCAACCCTGCCAACTTGAGGCAGTAAATAATCCGTGCTCGCTCATCCAAAAGCCCCCCCCTCCTCCTTCCTCATTGCTGCCCACACACAAACACAATATCTGACCACCCCAATTCCCATATTAAGTCCCAATGGCCAACCCGTGCCTCCCACCCCCCTTCACCAATCAGAGAGAGGCATCATCTTTCTACAGACCAAAGTTATTCCACAATTATTATATTATTTATGGCTTGAAAGGAGAGCTTCAAGGCAGTGGGGGTGGACAAACCTAAACATTGGACCGTAACTTAAGAACCCATGTTGCTATCGTCATGGTGCTGGACCAACTTCCTTGTCAGACTTGCATAACTTGTTTTTGTCTATGAAGTATTGTTTGTGTTATCTACTTCACAGTTTTGTTAGTCAGTGAGCTTCTCTTGCTCTCCATGTTGTTGTAACGTCTAGGCATCAGTTCATATGGCAAACTATCAATGGGGGTGTCCCTGTTAAGAGGGTCATGGTTGAAAGGATGTCATGTTGGCATGTTGTGGAGATTTTCTATGAGGAAGGAGAGGAAATAGAGTTTGAAGTTGAGTTAGTGTTAGCTGACTATCAAATGTAGTGTTTGGCTTGGCTGTCAAACACTGTTTTGGCATCACCATGGTAATGTGAGGAGCGACTGTAACCCGAAGTTTTCATGGTGACCTTGCCCACTTGCTTTCCAGTAGAAGCACTTTGAAAAGTGGGAAAACAGGAGGGGGAAATTGTGTAATGCTCCTGCTTAGAGGGGAGACAATGCCATGAAAAATGGCTTAATGGTCTGAAACTGGAAGGACCAGTCCAAACATCTTTGGCTTTTGTTATGTAATAAACCTCAGCGTGACTGTAATTGATCCTACACAACATAACAGCGTCATCAAACCAGATGACAAGGACACTTGGGTAAATAGTGGCAGACTGAAACAAAATAAGGAATTCTTCTAGACAAGAAAACAATGGTTCTCTTTAGCCAGACTAGCTGTACAATTTAACATTTTAATCATCTTCTTTGCCTGCTTAAAAACACATCTTCTCACCTGGGGCCCAGCTCATCTTCACTTCGCCAGACAAAGTCTCCAAACTTTTCGTAGTGGGAATTGTAGTGATGCTGGACTCTGTATAACAGTGGAGGAGGAACCTCCATCAATGTGTTGTAGGCCATCTGCTGCTCCTTGCCACTTGTGTAGCCGTTATACAAGTTGTAGACCTTGTCCGCTATCTCTGTGAAGAGGTAAGAGACGGACATAGGAGAGACACAGAAACATATTTTACACAAGCAACGTAAGCAAATCAGCACATCAAAGTTTTTAATGTAGTATTGAACTCCAATGAGGTTTGGGGATTGCAAGAGATACAAAACGGCGTGTATAGTTTGTAAGCAAGGAAGTGATACTGTATGGCTAACTCCACAGGGCCAGTTCATTTAATCTGAATGTGAATTTGGTGATGGAGATTTATTTTACTTTATGAGTTGAGATAGAACATGATTCTAAAAAAAGGATATATGTATTATAAGTGTGGGTCTGACTTGCAAAAATTAAATTAGTTAGATAAAAGGGTGTAATGACACGTTTTAAATATATTTTAGTGATGAACCTTGTGGGTAAGTACCAATGTCTATACATTGTGATTATGTTTTAAAACTTGTAAGAGATGTGCCAAAAATGAAATTAAAAGAAGAGGAACAAGAAGAAAACAACTGAAAGGTGAGTGTACCTTCGGCTCGACTGTCATCCACCATTGGACAAGATGTCCGTACTGACACGAAGCTTGAGTCAGAGTGGCTGCCTCGGCTATCCATTGCATGAAGAGTAAATCTGTAAAAAAACAAATAGCATTTGAAGAAAGTCCCAAGTTAAGTTAGCCAGTGTTAGCAGCGATCAAAGAAACATACAGAAAAAGCTTAAAAGCAATTACAAGTTTACCCTTGACCAAGACACTTAAAACTCCACAAATGATTGGCACTTTGGATACGCTGACACAGCCTTTAAAAAGTGTAATGTTCTTGATGAGATGGTGATCTTGCTAGATGATCGTATAAACCCATATACTGACATTGCATACTTTTTTAGAAACATTTCTTGCCAATAAGGAGCCAAAGATGTTGGGATTTAATTAAATCTGAAAATGAGTGCAGCCTGTTCCACAGTGGCAGAGGGGGCATCCGGCTCGACTCCAAGTACTCTATAAGGCCAAAGTTTCCTCTCTTTGAAAATGTCAAACATCAGACTTTTTCGGGTTATATGACAGACTTCAAGACCACTCAGTACCCTGATAAGAAAACACAGCAAACAGTTCAAGACATTAGGATATGAGACACTGAGAAATTGTAAGGCATCTCAAGTAATGTAGGGCTCGGAAAAAAATACAAATGACCTTTAGATGTCCTTTTGAAAATGTCAATCTGTGTACTTTTGAATAAGAACAAGAACAAGAACAAGGAGAAACTGGTCATATTGAATCTAAAAAAGGATGAAGGGTGGCACAGATTAAGCCATCAATATTATTGCAGGCAGCGGCGAGGAAAGAAATGCCAACATCATATACGTGCATGTGCTATTTGCCACTGCTGTCTTAATGATGGTTGAACTTTTAACTTGCTGCGGCACTCTTTGTGACCATGGCAACCATGTAAACCACACCTAGGAAAACACAAGAGCTATTTGTATTGTTGTCTCTGAATTCCCTAAATCACACCTCCCTTTTGTGGACACACATAACAATTTTAAAAAGGTTAATAACATTGATTTCTGTTTAGCCAAACTTGCTGTTGTGTCATATAGCCAAGCATTATCTAATATTAGATGTATTATGTCATATCTAGCTACCAGTTGAAAAGGCATATAGACTTTGACATGTCACAGAAGTTTCAAGTTTCAAGGCTTTTATTGTCCTGTGTGCATAGCTACACTGTAGTTATGACTATGAGAATCTTAGGTCAAAGGAAAAACACCAGTGTAAATTATAAAATAAATTATTGTTTGATTACGTACACCGGTGTTATGTCAAGGTACTGGATTTGTGTGTGACACTTGAATAGAATAGCACCATTGGTAATGTTTTACTACCTATGCTTTACCTACTATGACACGTCAAAATATATGGTGTGAAAAGGCCAATTTGGCTACACTTTGGCCATCAATGATAATTAGACTTGAGCAGCACATCAGCATTTCCAAAAAGAGCTTGTGTCATTTTTATGTTGAATTAAGCAGGCCATAAATATTGCAGTTGCTGTGAAGGTTATTTGATAGAAGGTTTTCAGAAAAAACACACATACACTGTTTTTCCTACTACAGGGGATTGAATTTAGTATTGAGAAATGTTTGTAGCTTGTTATGAAAAAAACTGTAAGCTTTCTACAGTATTTCAACAGAGTTACCGCTGTAAAAACAACATAATGAAAACAAGGAAACCACAAAACACAGCGAGACAAGATGATCAACTGAGATAGCATTCCAATGCGAAATACTTTTGAACACATGAAAATAAAGACATTACAAGATTATTGTTATTACAAAGGTTTATTTTTGTTACTAAACGCATTTGCCTTTTTCTCATTTAATGTCTGTCCCAATTCTTTCAAATTATTGTTTTGTTGTAATATGACCTGTTTGGACATTGCTCACATAGTTTGTCTAGTCTTGTTTTTCAGCAGGGTGGATGCGGTATTCCCCAAGAATCTCACCAAAGGCCTCACACAGGAAAACAATGCTGGCATGTAACAATCACTGTTTAAATTACTGTATGTGGCCACATAACGTGCAGCTGGATACAATGAGGTGGAAGAAAAAGGAAAGCAAGAGGAGGAGGAGGAGGAGGACGTCGAGGCGGGAGTTTTTATCAAGGCAATTTGTTAAAAGTTTTGTTAGGGACCCAGGATGTGTGCTTGCCAGCCTTTTATTGCTGTTTTTTGTTGTTTAAATGGTTGGCATCAATGACAGGTACTGTTCCCCCTTCCACAGCCCCTACAGCAATTACAAGGTTTTTATGTACAGTAATAAAGCTTTTTCTGCCATGAGATTAAGCCTCTAAGAGAGTGAGCTTGAGAGTCTGCTTTTTGTTTGAGTAAATGAGGGATAATATGCTCATTGTGGAATGAATTATGACATTTTAAAGAAAATACGAGACATTTTGCAACTTTTTGATCGCCATTTAAGCCAAGTAGCCTTGGCTAGGGTTTCTACATACTGTTAGGTCCTCATTCATATAAACTGATAGTAGCAGTCTAAGCTCGGCACAGGCACACAGTGATGATAAAGATCGCCTAGGAGAACAAAGAAAGCAGCTTTGGTCTGGCATCCCACGAGAATGTCAAAACATCAAGTAACAGCATTTGGCAAGACACACAACCACCACGGCCACCCACCCTACCACACACGGATACACTTTCCTTTGTCTCTCTATTTTTCTATCTACATTGCTTGCATATAGCTCAGCCCTGTCTATCCCTCTCTCTAATTCTTTGTCTCTCACATCTATTCCAAGGCCGTCTGGCTTCACATGGCTCCTCTGGAAGCGGTTCGGTTTTGTCCCTGTGCCATAGTTTTGAAAGCTCAGCAAACAACCAAGTGGACAAATGGCAGATTAATGTTTGTGTAAATTAACAATGTGGCCATTAAAGTAACTATTGTCCTCTAATTTAATGAGACAGTGGGGAGATGGATGAACAAGGGATGACAAGATAGAAAGCTCTGGGACAGACAGAGCAAGAGATGAGGAATGGGAGAGAGAGAGAGAGAGAGAGAGAGAGATTGAGAGTGAGAGAGGATCACTTAGGGCAGTATGTTTGGCATGCTGAGAGAAGCTAGGGCAGTAGGGGATGCCTTTTCCATGACATCAATGTTTGGATACACATCAGAAAGCCGGTCAACAAAACAATCAAAGCCACATAGAATAATTTCACACTGCCCGAAAAATCTGTGGCAGCTACAGTATCTCGTGACGTTGAAATCCTCAGATCTATGTGGCATTACACTAGCGCAACAGCCCTAAATATAATGCCTTTGCCTTTCATTGTGAATTAGACCAATTAGCTCAGCTCTGAATGACCTCACTTGCAGATCAGAAAGACTCACAGTCCAAATGAATGTCATGATCACAACACCACATTAAAATCTCAAATGAATTCAGCAGATAATTTGGGAAACTGAGATAAATATATAGTTAATCAACAAGAACATCATTTCAACAGTTCTTTGAATGACGTTTGACAAATTCAAGTCAATATTATCATGAATCAGCAGTATCAAGATTATTTTTTAAATTAAAAGCAAAAACATTTCTCATCAGGAAGAAACTAGATTTTTGTGCGTCTTCCTTTTGCACCAAGTTTTAGTGGAAAACAGCAAATGCCCACCATGCAAAACAATATTATTTAGATTTTTAAACTAAAAAGTACCAACACCTTTGTACAACCACCACACTCAAAGAAATATAAATGCCAATCAAGAAGCAGGAATGATTTTTTTTTCAAATCCACTAGCTAGTTTTAAGCTTTAAAACTCAAAGGTGTCAATCGATATCAAGAAATGGAGAAGTACATAACTATTTTTTGTACAACTTCTGTCACAAATGTAGTCTTGATTAATTAGAGCAGCACAAACAATGTTACCTGACCTCTATCAGTTCAATACAACAAAATACACTTGTGGTGCAGAAAACTGAACTGACCCTTCAATCAACATGTTCAGAAACAGGCATCCTGGTCACCTAGTTGAACTCTGTAACATAGATTATCATCACCACATTTCTGATTTGGTTTGGGTTCGAGAACCAGAAAAACAAAGTCAACTGACTTCATTGCCAAGATTATTTTGTTGATGATTTACCACCCCAGAAATATAAGTTATCCTTGTAAAAAAGGATGTTCCTGCTTATTGTCACATTAGTCTGACAGTTCAAGAAGTATATTCATAGTAGCCTCTTTAGAGAATTCTCACACGTTTGGTTAATAATACAAAAGTGACTCTGTATGCAGCATATTTGTATTCACATTTGAAATCAGGTGTGAAACTCTTCAAAGAGAAAAGAGCATTCTAGTAAGGGAAATGTTAGCAGCCTTGGTAATGATCAAGTGTGAATGTATGTAAGTCGCTTTGGATAAAAGCGTCTAACAAAGGACATGTAATGTAATGTAATGTCCAAACCAGTAGGACTTATCAGACTCTTGATTAAGACAAGCGGGGTTGGCTTCAAGCAGATGTGCCCTCAGGCGTAACTCCAAGGTAAATTCTGCTCTTATCAGAGCAAAACAACACTGTAGAAAATTCCTCAACAAAGATAACACAGCTCCAACGTTGGAAATAAGGCTCTTGTTGCAGGTTTTGTTAGTGGAACACTAACTTCTACAGATTAAATGAATAGTTACTGTACGTACATACAGTAGTATTCTTTATCTACTGCGTCAATGCATGAAGGAAAGTCGAAACATTGAGTTGTTAACTAAATAGATGGTAATTATATTGTAGGCATTACCATCAGCCTCCAGAATGTCTTGTTGGTTATTCGTTGATTTATTTTATCTTAATTTCTTTGTTTTAATGCTCCATTATTAACACTTCCCAAAATTGACTATTCTACTTCTCCCTGTGTGCAGTGTTTATGTGAAACTCACAGGTTCATCAGCCTATGACCATATATATATACTCCAGTGTTAATGGATTTGTTTAAAAGCCACATGGCGTTAATTTGACTGTTATAGCTGTTATGTAGACATAAATGTTAAATAGCTTGTTGGCAAAGCTACATTAATACATCCATAACCTTTACTCTGGCTGTCTCACATACAATAACACACAAACAAGCATCTTAAGGCATTTTTATTCCTGTAATTTAGCATCCCTCTCGACTGTAAATGTATGTTCATTTAATTAGGCACAACTAAAGATAATTTATTTTAGGGTAACTTGTTATGCTAAATGCTGTGAGTATGCCTTGCTGTATTGTCGTCTCAGGTTATTGGAAATCCACTGGCATAAGGATTTGGATATTAAACTATTGCAAAGTTATTTGTTTTTTGTAACTTTGTAAGAACATGTACACCTAGATTGGGGATAATCGGAGGTTTCCAAAAGCTTTTAATTCTGGCTTCTTCTTTCGAAGGGGCTATGTTCAGGCTCCCAAAACAAACCAAGGCCTTCGAAAAGCATGAACATTATAAAAACAGGACACTTAACTGAACCTGAAAAAACAGTCTGTTTCATGTGTCCAATGTCAGCCACAACAACACCTGGGGCCTGTCTGCTTCACTTATTATTGATTTTCGTGCAAGAGCAAATAGTGCTCATAGAAAATGCACATAACAGCAATATCTAGTTTAAAAAAGATTAAAAAAAACATATCTGCATCAAATTTGAAGTCAGATATATTTCTAGTCTGAATTGTGCCTCTAAATAGCTTGCCAAAAACTGATTGAACAGAAAAAAATATCACATACAACATTCTGGTAATTAATGAAAAACATAATCATGAAATTGCTGTTAACACTGTCAGAAACATGCTGTGTCAGCTCTATGGTCATTTGAGGTTATAGTCTGTAATGACGCAATTTCTGATGTTGTACGGGGGAATTTAATTAAATACAATAAATAGGTTTCAATGTGAAGCAGTCCAGTGAAGCCCCACACGCATGCACTTAATTCCACAATGTTTGTAGGACATGATGTGTTATTCATAAAACCCGCAGTAATTGTTATACTGTTGGAACAGATCTGCAATCAGCAACAGCAAATAGCCTTGGCTTCCCACGTCACACACTGTCAAAGTTCAACTTGCTGTTGTAAATACATGATGTGTTACGGTGATGGCTATGAGTGCATTTAATGGCATTTAATGACCTCGGCAAGGTCTGTCTTTTAGCTAAATGCCTCCCAAAATCTACAAAGAGTGGTCAATTTGTTCTTTGAGTTTAACAAAGATCGCCTCTTAACAGAGATCCTTCTGTATTCACAAAAACGCTGTTCTGCTCTGACCAAAGAGAACATAAAAGAACGGAAGCAACCGCCATTTCCACCACGTTGAGCTTCCCTATTTAACTCGAGCCAGCTGTTGTAGGTAACAAAATTGACCCCCTTAAGAAAAACAGCATTTGCAGTGGGAATTGTAGACACCTAAGGGAGGATGTGGTATTGCTTATATTTGCTCAGTCATTCTTGTATGGGAAAGACGCAATCATGGCCACAACATAATGTTTAATGAAAGGTATTTATATGGTAATCGGAAAACAGTGAACTCATAAAAATGTGGTCAGAAAAACTCAAGTCAACTGGGTTGCAATAAATTGTGAGCCAAGACCAAGGGCACTGTTGCTTAATATTGTAGGTGGTTGGACAGAATTGTACTGTACATTAAAGTGTGAACTCTGATTACTTTCTAGTTTCGATGATACAATTTAAAATCAGAAATAGCAAAAAATGGAGCATGGCCTTCAGTTACTTTTCATCAGAAAATGGGAACCACCACCCTCTTCTGGGTGTTCACAGACATGTTCCCTAACCTACACATGACATTGATGTATGAGGTGTATTTACTATGACTGCCAAACGATATCTAGAGCTTATAGATTTCAGGCAAAATCTCCACCACGCCTAGAAACTTGCTGCTGAGTCGTTTTGTGCTGACCTCCACCAAAGAGACGGTTGAGACCTTCTCTCAATCCTCACAGTCAGCCAACTCCACAGCAAAGGTGTCAAGCAGGTTCTATGGTTTTCCAAACACAAGGTCAGCAGTTGTCCTCTGCTTGAACCAGCCTCTGTGATGTCTTGCCTCCGCTTCCTGAATTGTGTCATGGTTTTCCATAACCTCCATGAAGCCAAACAAAAGTCCTTCTTTAAGGACTCGCAAACTCTTACGCATTAAGCTTCCGAGAACACAGAAGCTGCTGTCCTTCAGGCTTCCTAAACCTGACCGCTGATTAAAGAGGCCCCTGGGTTAAACACGTCTAATAGGCTCCTTCTCCGGCTTCAGGTTTCTTTACTGCAAAGTGTCCACCAATAGGATCTCGGGTTGCCGCTACTCTCGTGTTTTTAGCCACACAAAAGCCGCAACCTTAAGAAACTGTATACAGTTTATACAACAGTATTATACAACAGTATGAACTGTTGGGAGACCAATGTTTAAATAGTCTGGTATGCCTAAGCAACCATTTTAAAGCTTACAGTGAATACAAATATACAAATGCTGTAAATAGTAGATCACAATTATTGGTTTGCAAATGTATCGTCAACTAAAATTCATGATTGTGACAACCCTAATCGGTGCCTCTCACATTGGTAACTGGAAAAGGATCGAGTCCAAACCCTATCCAGGGGTTTCATTCTACGCCTGTGTGTAGAAATGAGCCAGGGGTTAGCCTACCTACAACCCAAACAGTTTTCCTTTCAAATTGGCAAGGCACCAGAGCCCTACATACCTTCTCCTGGCTGAGTTTGATTAGACCCCATGGGTACAGCTCCTATTGTCTTATTCTGTGCATGGTCGGAACAAACGTGCATTTCTACAGAATATCTGTCCCAGGCTCGGGGACTGCTGGGAGCTCACTGGGGCCCCCAAAACCCAACACCACAGCAATTCTCTTACAGCTTCTATGTATTTGATATTGCCTCATTAACTCACACATTTAAAAACATAGTTTACCTACAAGTTTTATATCAATTTCCTATGAAATAACCCCATAGAAATCTGGAAATAATTAGGAACTTTCTTCTTTGAGGGGATTTTACTTCACAGACATATCGGGAACTTTGAAAATATGTCTGACCTAAACACACAACACAACACAATTTATGACTCATGTTTATTCATATGCCGAAGAAATAAACAGTCACAGTAAATCAGTTATTTAATTTACTTGAAAACTTGGCATACGTTGTTGGCTTACTTACTTGTAGAGACTGTCGGGTTCCAGGCACTTGAAGACAACTGAATACAGCACAGAGTGAGGATGGTCTCCAGTCCTTTTCCCGGCAACAACACAGGATGAACCCAGACCAGAGAACAGATCATCCACCAAGCTTATAACTTCACCTGGTAAAGAGATCATATTAAAGGAAGAAAAAGAAAGTATGAAATTAAGAAACAGAGACAATAAGGAAATTATACAAAGGGCTCACTTTGAAAATGTTATTTGTACTGTTCAACCATCCGTCATACTTTTAGCCAAAGAAAAGAAAAAGGGTAACATTATCTTTCATCTATTGTTCTAAGTTAAAGAAAACAATACCACTTGTTTGGGTTGCACCACATGTTTAAACAAGAGAAAAACAATGGAACACAACATGGACTTAGTCATGAATGAATTCCTGCATTTAGGAAAACATGTATTTCCTTATCAATGATCATGCCATTTGACTCTGGTGTTATGAGTTTCACCTCTGCCTGGTCCAGTGGGAGCCATTTCACCAGCACCAGGCGGGAGCTAAATTAAATATGACTTTTTGTTGGCAGTAGCCCATACCCACGATGTTACAGAACTGTAAGAAAACAGGATATCATTCCTTTATGGGCACATGGTTCTGTTACAATGATATCTCTCTGAGCACCCTAGCGTCTCACAAAACACTGCTTCAAAAGTTGTGAAATATCTTTCATGTCAGCTTACGGGAAAGGCGAGCGACGCACGCTTGTTCATTGAGACACATACACGATGCCAGTTTCCATTGCTCATGGGGGTGATGGAAAAAAGAGGGAGCTGTCAAAATAGTTTAAAAACTCTCGAACGGTTGGATTTCAAACTATTTCTACACGAGGTAAAGGGCAGCTTAGTTTTAGCTTATGATACATGGGCCAACTTATAAACACAGGGAGTAAGTCTGGTGGGTAGGGCACAAGGGGATGGTAAGAAAAGGTTACAGAAGAGAGGAAAAATAACTGCACGAATGAATGATTTGACCTTTTCACAGAAAGAGCTCTGTGTATAGGAGGTTTCCCCTAAACACATTCCTGTACTGCTGCAGGGTTGCTCTTTCAAATGTTTTTACCTCAAATTGGATTCATTTGGATTTATGTTTGGATAAAACTTGCTTAGAACTGCAAAATAAGTGCTGATATCAGTATCAGGATATGTCTATTGAAATGTTAAGTCATGGAGTTTGTTTGTGCTTTACATTTTAACCTTACCTTTTAAAGTAAGCAGACACTTTCTTACTTAATATTTCAACATTCTTAAACCCAAAGACCACCATAGAATATTTAAAAGGTTTAGCTATTCATATATATTTGAATACATTCTTTATTAAAGTGAACACTTACAGGTTGTCTTGGTTTGCCAAGAGAACATTAAGAAGCCAATCATTATACAAAATGACCATTTGCAGTGCAACTGAGGTCAATTAAATATGAGAACATAGGAAAGTCCATATTGATTAAGTATTTAACCAAACTTTAATAATGGATTAAGTGCAATGTCTTCCAAATATTAGGATTACATTTCCATTATTGCACTGTTTATATACATTATAATTTTCAACAAACGAGACACTTAATTTGGTTGTTTATTATTATTTACTTTGTTCTTTCTGATATTACTTAGTTAAGGCAAATATGTTTTTTGGAGAATCACGATGTTCACAAATGTTCATTTTGCAACTGAAGGTTTGGATTGTGGTATTGATATCTAAGTAAGGAAATAATAATGTTTTTTTAATACTATCAAAAGTGTACTGGATATCTAATTCTCGTTTGGCGTGGTACTCAATATATAGCGGATATTATTGGTAATGTTCTATTTATGATCACTTTTGACCTAAATTGCCCTGCGTTTAACATACTGCATTCTTCGTGTATTCCCTCAGCTTTATTGCCTACGAGAGGAATGTCAATTGAATGCCAGATTTCTGCCACTTCACAAAGGATAAAGGTAGAAAGAAACTCCTCCAAATAAAGCATGGACAAACATGGAGAAAATTGAGGGAAGGAACCACTAACAAAAAAAGTCAAGGGAGAGAGACAAACAATGACTGGAAAGGAAAAAGGACAGTGAGCGCTTTGATGTTTTATGATTTTGGATGTGGTCATGGAGAAGAATGTTGATGTCAATGGATGTTTTGATAATCAGAATAAATCAAGGAGCTGATGCGTGACTACAGGTCAGGAGCAACCACTTGTGACTTGTGTTTTAGTAGCGGTGAGTTGATGTATGTGATTCTAACATGATCCTGACTCTCACAAATCAAATAGAAGACACACTGTCCCATTCTCGTGCGGCATAAACAAGTGTGCTCACCAATGGCTACCCTTTCATGGCTGGGACACAAGTTTCTATCCTACAGCACCATTGAAAGTGTAGCCCGTAAACAAATGAACAAACCCAGACATTGACGGAACAGCGCAAACGTCTGCCAGAAGACTATAACAACAACAAAAAAGGGGCAAAAGAACTGTAAGAAAACTGAGTGGGGATGAAGTTGTATGGCCAGCTGTGTTCTGTTGCTGCCTTTTGCATACTTGGCCAGATCAAAGTCAAACTATATTCAAAAGTGTTCAGATAGGTGTGGCATACATTGTGACTTCCTTTCATTCTTATTCATAATAGGAACTATTTATGGAATATTACTGAAGTTGTGCTTGGCCTTAGCAACATTTCCGGGGTTATTAAGAACATATCTATATTCATTATACATGCCAGTTAAGTGGCAGTAGTTGCAATGCTGCAGAGATGATGGATAGTTGTATACATTACTAACGTGTTTTCTAAGGTTGTACCAATGCAAAAGTTATGACCCTGCATATGACATTGTTTAACCTTTCAAAATATCCCCTTGAAAAGCACTGATTATGCCAATTATAAAATGTGTTAATCAGAGTAATTATATTGTAGCTAATCTAAAACACTGTTTTTTTAACAGTTTGGTTGAAAACACACTTGATATGTCAGTATCCATGTGTTCTAACAGAGTTGGAAAGATGTTATGTCCCCCTTAGGCATAAATAGAGACTGGCTTCATGGGCTTAGTTTAGTTAAGCTTAGGGACATGAGGCAAAATGTCATAATTGGACATTACATGTACAGTGTGAATAGACCACTTATGTCACTGAGAGCACGAGGAAGCGCGTAAGTTACTTTGATCAACCTGGAAGACTAAACAATAGGCAAATGTCTTTGGTCTGCTCTCGGGTGGCTCTAGGAGAGCTTACTGTATAATTATCAATTGAAGAAATCAGCAGGAGAACACACTGTGTTTTATTTCTGTTAACAACCATATACACATACCTAGCAAACTGCACCGCACATTCCATGGGTCAAAACCTCTTTAAACAGAGACATCTGAAAGTTATAAACTGTTATGCAATTACGTAAATATAAGAACAGTGCGCAGGCTTCGTAGGGGTACACAATGTACCATCATGTGCACATAGTTAAGGGGCTGATAATGCTCTTTTCCCTGTGTAAATGTCAGTTTGCAAAAATTGAAACTAATGAAAACTATATTCCGAAACATTCAATCTACATTCTATTCTTTATATAAACGTTTTTTTTTTTTTACATTTAGCTTAGCAGTGGTCTCACTCTGAATGTTTCCTGATCAACACATTTATTAATTCAAAGTACAGAAAGAGGACATTCCAGCAACACTTTGCTGTATAACAACAATGTAAGAATAGCAATGTGCTAAAGTAAAATACAACTTTAATATTATATATTTAGTTGTTTCTCAGGGTTATAAATGTATCACTCACTGCCTCAAAACATATCTCTGGTTTATTTTTAGGATACTCTTATTGCTTACTACAATTTTCCATTTGAGAGACTAATGAAAACATACGCATCTTAGTAAAGTAAAGACTGGGCTGAGGAAATGACACAGGGTAATTAATTGAATGTGGAATGTTCACACATGCAAAATTAGGGTATGACTCAAATGCTAAACTGGAAATATTTGTACAAACCGTTGGCACATCTGTACAGCTTTGTCTGTGGACGTTTGCTAATTTCTACCGAAGACCTTCAATCATCTACTGGCTCCAAGCTGGTAGGTTTTAAGTTATTACATCCAGTACCAATCCAGAATTAGTTAATAACACTTGAAATCAAATCCATGAACCTTAAAAATAAGGTTTCAAAACCCAGCCAGAAGCATCATTAATGGCTCTACCCATCTCAGGGGTTCCTCAAGGGTATGCCTGTGGTCCGTCAACATTTCTGTCAATAACTAAGCCAAAACAGCACACAGCTGGCAAAAATTAAGGCCCCCGAAATTCTATTACGGTAAAAGCCATTTTGCGTGTTCTCCAGCTTACATGGCGATTAAAACCTCATGGTAAATGCCAGGTGACCTTTTTAGTAGGCAGAAAGGGGTACAAATAATAGCAAATCATGGGCGAGACGAAGTGTTCTGATTCAAAGAGAAAGAGGGTTTGAAGCTATGATGTAAAACAAACAAGTCAAGGCAAGTTCATTTGTACAGACTCAATATCATATACAATGTCTCCTAGGCTTTGCGGGTACACGACAGCAATGTTCCCTGACCCAGACTCAGCCATATTATCTAAGATGACAAGGAAAACACCGAAAAAAAAAACGTTGGCACAAAACAAAACACAAAAAGGAGGGGTGGGCATGTGTCTGGAAATTCAAAGAGAGCTCCTTCTACCGTGGGCAGCAAGAGGTGAATGGTAGCCAGAGGCGGGGAAAGGGCAATAACAAGAGTGAACAGAAAGCTGCGAAAGAAATTGAAACACAAAACTGCGTATTTAACACATTAATACACCATGCACATGTTTACCGCACATGTTAACCTTGTTTGCCCTTATGTGGCAGGATCTGGAGACAGGTGTGTAAATGGTGGCATTTCGTCTGATGTTAAAAGCCAGACTTGCTATACTGTTATCCCCAACACATCATTTCAATTACACCACTGAATTCAGGCTCAGCGTAATTGCCTCAGCCATTAGCTGTGTGTGTTTGTGTGTGTGTGTGTGTGTGTGTGTGTGTGTGTGTGTGTGTGTGTGTGTGTGTGTGTGTGTGTGCACATATAAATCCTCAAGTTCAGTGGGTTCACACATTACGTTTTTTTTCTCTGCTCCAA